AAGATCAGAAGGGAGGGGAAAAAAGTAGAGTGTTATTCTTAGGGAGTGTTATTCTTAAAGATTCGTAGTCTTCTAGCTAGTAACTGCTTTCATGAAAGAAATTTCTAACTGATAACCTGTTTTTGATCACATGGCTAATTCATTGGGTACTGCAGCAAATCCTGTCACCTCTCTGGGAACCCATTCTGCATCTTTAAGGCGGGATTGGACCAGAGACTTCTAAAGTTCTTTTCACAGTTCTGTGATTAATTACTCCTCTCTCTTGGTCTCTGAATTCACTTTTATTCAACATCAACTTCACCCTCTAAATCTCTCAACTCACCATTGCATTGATTTCACAGAAAAGAAAAAATGTAGATTTGGTAATTGACCAACATTATAATCAATATTATTTTCCAAATGGAACAATATGGACCGACAAATTCCTCCTTAAGGATTTGATAAGAAACTAACCATCCAAAATCTATGTCCTTTTTTCCAGTATATATGGTACTACCTATTGTGTCAAGTTGGTTTTATTTAGAAATCAGGGAATATTAGAACCTATTTTGCAGTGTTTATCTTTGCTTACACCTTTGATTACTGATTACAAGTAAAAGATACTGGTTGAGAGTATTTATATTTAGAGTTGCAACACCAGTGGGGATAATTAGGAAGAGGTAATCTCATCCCAACGGAGTTGGTTTTCTCACATGCCACCTTTATGCACGTACACATGTTAAAAACTATATCTTTTAAACTTACCATCCTGCTGTTCCTTAGAGAACTCGATCTGTTAGAAGGAAATCAACCACAAAGAATATTTTAACCAAACAAAAATGTTTCTGATTTTTAAGTGTATCCAGCTCATTCCCTGAGTCATCGTCAAAGTAAGCCCCACAAGTAAGCTTACTTTTCAGAGTTCAGGCATAGCTTGGACACTACCAGGTTGAGCCACAAAGTAACATGCCTTGGAGATAAGTGGTATTTCGGAAACTAGGCAGTGCTCTGCCTACATCCGGAATAGAGAAGTTCAATTCACTTACCAGCAATCTGTTCAGCACTGAAGGACTGCAGTGGCGAAAGAGAGGGAGAAAGAAAGAAACAACTAGTACTTTTTAAATGCATTGACAGAAGAGTGAGTGCTCTCTGCTGTGAGTGTTTTAGCAGGCCATGTAGGTGTCATAGCATAAGAAGGTTGCCTTAGGGTAATTTTGAATCTAGAAACATGAAAGCTATTGCAAAAGATCATTAAGGACCATCTCTCCATATCTTAATCAATGAATCAGTGATTTAACAAATGCTAAATCAAATACTTCCTGGAATACTACAGTAATCTATAGTATGCTTAAAGTATGTCTAATACAGACACATCGGATTAAAAAGTACAAATACACTGCATGAAAACGATCACTTTAAGTCTGCTGCTTAACCAGTACATTTTTATGTTAACACATAATATCCAATGCATCAAAAACAGTTTACTTAATTTTAGCAATTGGTATCACTGGATAGTATTTTAAAGAATAATATTTTGCTGTAGTTGCAGTTTTTCTTTTTCTAAATGTAGATATAATAAATCTCATGTGATATAGTAAAAGTTGGTGAAGCATAAAGTACTGCTTGGGGAGTAAGATGGATTTTTCCAGTTGGCATAATTGGCTCTCATTGTTTTCTCTTATCTTCAACCCACCTCAACAAAAAACAAAAGTAGATTCTAAAGACTCAAACGTGAATAAGTTCTTTCTTCAGTTCTATTCCTTGATTGCCTTTATTCTCAATAAGATCACATCCACTATCTCTATCCCTCTATAAATGACAAATACTTTTTTCAAAGGACCCACCATGATGGAGTTGCTGGTCTGCCAACAGCAGCGAAGCTGAAGAGTAAGTTGAGGGCTGCTCCAATCCCTGAGTGGGATCCTCCCTTGCCGAGGTTTCCTTTTATTTCTGGGGAAGCTGTGACCTCACAGACAGTGTTGGGTTTCAGAGAGAAGTTGCCACTCCCCTTAGAGAGTTCTTTAGCTTTCTTAGGGCAAAGGGAAAGATGGATCTGTACCCTGAAGGCTATTTTTAGGAAACCAGAACCTAGGAGTGGACGGCCCTAGAGAGACTGAATTTTGTCGGTACTTTTATAGTCTTTTGCTCTGAGATCAGTATCCTTGGAGTGTCTTCCTTTAAGAACCTTCTTATTTGTTCAGTGGCAGAGGAGCTTAGTGTTTTCCTAAGGGCTTGGGCTGACCCCTTCTCTTGGTCAGTCATAGACTTTGCAAACTTCTAGTCAGCAAGTTTTGATATTAATGGAACTTCTTGGGTGGCACTGGTCTGGGGTTTCAAATGACAGCTGCTATAGAAGGAACACCTCAGAAGCTCTGTCTCTTATGGTAAAGTTCAAATGACTTGAGAAGGCCACACATGTTTCACAGGTTTCTTAGGGTCATCCGTGAAACTGTTGGGCCTGTTCTTGAAACCTACTAAAGACCCTCTTCTTCCAAGTTGTATTCTGAGACGTATGGAGTTTTTCTAAGCCAGGAATGGTTTTGAGTTCCATTTTCCACCACTCTCTCTCAGTTTCCTGACATTATCTGTGATTTTATTCCTCCATTCCTGTTATCTTTATGGTGGCTGGTCAGCCATATTTTCTAATTTCTGTAGCTCTTCTAGGCAGAAGAGCTGATAGACCACTTTTTGCAATTTTTTTCTTTTTTTGTATATTTATTCTTCTAAAATTTTTGCCTAAGTTCTTACTAGAATGTACCAATTCTGTTTATACCTTTTCAAACATCTTGTGGCTTAGGATCCAGAGAGTGTGCTAACCTTTCCATAACCCTAGAACATGGAGAAAAACATGGATGATTCCATTATAAGTAGTAGCAACCCTAGTTAGGGACCTTAAAGAACTCAAAGCAGGAGCTATGGAACACATGAATGCACATTAAAGTTTTAAAAGTATCTGATTGGTTAGAGTCCCTGGGTGGTGCAAATGGTCAACATGCCGGGCTGCTAACCAACAGGGTGGAAGGTCAATGCCACCCAGAATTACCTCAGGAGAAAGGCCTGGCAATCTTCTTCTGAAAAACCAGCCATTGAAAAGCCTATGGAGCACAGTTCTACTCTGACACACATAGGGTCATGATGAGTTGGAGTCGACATTAGGGCAACTAGTATTGGTTGACGATGGGGTTTCATGGTAGCTTATCTGAAAATAGGGGGGCAACTCCCTTCCAGAGTGTACTTGGAAAAGATCAATCCTAGGATGTCCACTAAAATTCAGATAACATGTTTATCATTTTTCTACATATTTAGAGAAGCTCATAGGCTCAGAGGATATTGGAGAGGAATAGCAGTTTACGTACTGCTTCAGCAACTGTCAGATGGGGATTGGTCACAAAAAGCATGAAATCTTCTTCTGCTGTTGCAGATGTTAGTTGCCGTGGAGTTGATTCCAATTCATGACGACCCCATGTGTGCAGAGTAGAACCATAAGGTTTTCAAGGCTGTGACCTTTCAGAAGCAGATCACCAGGCCTGTCTTCCAAGGAGCTTCTGGTTAGGTTCAAACCTTCAACCTTTTGGCTAGTTGTCCATCGTTTACCATTTGTGCCACCAGGACAGATGTATAGTTTCAGCTTCCCCTCAACTCATTTGGGAAGAAATCAACATTTAAATACGTATCACTTTTTGCCCAAAGTTTACAAATAGTGAAAAAATGTCATAGGGACTTAAATCTCAAAATGAGAATTGAAAAGCTACTATTTTAAAATTAACAGTACCAAGATAAACATAACTTCATAAATAGACTGACATTTTGAGATGTTATTGGGAAATGGAAGTTAATAGAAAATTAAAAATGCTTTGAATCATTAGAGGAAAATAGAAGGCAGGGACAAAGCTGAAAATTTGTAACATTTGATAATTGCATATTTGGAGTCTTATGATTTTTGATGCACTATTTAAAGCCATTAGATCAGACTGTGTTTTCTTTGTGCTTTTTAAATCTTATAATCATAGTTATGTGTCATTAAATTTGAATTGCTTTATGATTATTATTGAGAACTAGCATATATCTTTAGTAGAGCAAATAATATTTAAATAATAGAATACAAACCCTTCAAAGTTGCCCTACTAGACATAATGCCTATTTTCTTTTTTTTTAGGTAGAAAAGCATGCACTTGAATACATACAAACTATTATCAATTTGTATAAAATATGTTGGGTAAACAGATAACTCATTTTAAAATTTGTATTTATGTTCTGAATTAGCTATTCCTACCTACTTGGATATTATATAAAGATTCATTATTGTTAAAACAGAAGTTGTAGGTTCTTGTTACAGTACTTCACTCTAGCCTTTCTCCAAATCCTTATCACATAGAGAAGGAAAATTTAGATTTTTTTGTACCTACTGAGAATCAATAGTAGGGAAGGCTACAGTATGGTCTAGTCTAGAGACTACATTACAGTTTAAAAGTTAGAAGAGCCAGACTTTGTCTTCATAGACTAGGTTGAAAACACTATTTATTCTTTGGTACACTTTCACAAATAACAAAAACTTTCTCTGGTACCTCTTCCTTGGACGTTATAAAGATGAGGTAATCAGCCTTCTGAATAAAGGCATGACTACAAAAGTCCAGCTGAGTTTGGACTCAGTTTGCTGTGTCATTATTTGGTTTGTTTTACACATTAGATTTAAGTCATGCTCTCCTCTCATCTCTGTCTCTTAGAAATTAAGATTCTTCAGAGCCCTGCTGAAATCTCTTCTTCTTAGCAGAATCTTCTCCCTTTCTGCTTTGTAACTGTTTGTTGCCATAGAGTCGGCTCCAACTCACGGTGGCCTTATGTATAACAGAATGAAGCTTTGCTAGTCCTGGGCCATCTTCATGATCATCGGTATGTTTGAGTCCATTGTTGTGGCTATTGTGTAGTGCCTTCCAATCTAGGGGGCTTATCTTCTAGCACTATATGGGACAATATTATGTTGTGACCCATAGGGTGTTCATAAGTTAATTTTTGGAAGCAGATTGCCAGACCTTTCTTCCTAGTCTGTCTTAATCTGGAAGCTCTGAAACCTGTCCACCATGGGTGACCTCGCTGGTATTTGAAATACAGGTGGCGTAGCTTCCAGCATCATAGCAACATGCAAGCCACCACAGTACAACAAACCGACAGACGGCGGTGGCTTTCTGTTTTACCCACCTGCTTTTCCCCAGTGCTTTCTGTTTAACCTTCCTGGCTGTAAACTCCTGGGAAGTATAGATCATACTTGAAAGCCGTTTACCTTTGCACGCGGTGATGTGTACACAGGTATGGGCCTGCTCTAACCTCTGTACCTAGACTGCCAATCCTGCCTTATTCTTAGCTTTTATCCCCCATAACTCTTGATAAAATACATTGCCTATATTAGCAGTCCTACTCTGTCCTATAGGGTCACTATGTGTCAGAATCAACTCGATGGCAGCGGGTTTTTATATAAGATGCTCAATGGGTTTTCATGAAATTAAAATCAGAAGAACATATGTATAGTAAGTTCCTCTATTAAACATAGGCTCCTTCTCTAGAATATTATATTCCCTAAGAGAAGAGACTTCCTGTGTTCCTCCAAAGAGCTTACATTCTAGAGGCGCTGCATACATTTTCATTCAATGCTGCATCTACAGCACCTACTTAGCAAATAGTAGGCAGACACACTGTGAATTATCAATATATGTACCTTAACATTTCCAGGGCCTTTGTTAGATTTTACATAAATGTTTATGATCAAGAATTCTAATTTGCCAACTCAAGGTTTGTTTTTATAAAGGTTTTTTTTTCATCCTAGCCTACATACTTATATTAATTAGACTTTTAGTAAAACAAATTCATTTCTCATTCATTCATTTTGTGACTTTGGTGCTATTTTTTGGTTTTGACAGTATTAGATTTAGGTGGTAGTCTGCAAGATACTGCTACTAAAAAGGATTTCTGGTGCAATGTTTACAGATTCTCACTTTGAGAAGCATTTTTCCAACAGTGCTCATGGGGTTTGATTAACTGATTAAAGACAAGATAAAGTTTCTGGTATGTAGATGGAATTGATTTGTAGGAAAAAAATTAAAATTCAGTTAATCAAACAGGCTCTGAAATTGATGTATTTTAAGCTTTAGTATATTAAAAGAAGAGGAGTTATAATTAAAGATGATCTGGGAGATATGTGATGAAAATGCTCTAGGAAGGAACAACAGACTATAGTCTTCAAAGAACTTTATCATTCCTGTAAGATGCAACGTAGACTAATGACTGGTAAGGCTGAGCAAAGAGGACTGATCTAACCAGGGACAGTTTTCAGTCAAGAAAACTTTGCTAAGTGTTCTCTGATTTAATGCCCAACAGAGAGGCCAAAGACTTGGATATATGCAAACGCTTAGGAAAACCTAACTTATTAATTTTTACCCCAATCTCACGAAGTTAGTAGGAACCATCATCAAAGGCTAGCAGACTTATTGTTTTTAAACTGAGAGTTTTGTCCTTCAGGCTAATTCATTTAAGTCAATGGAAAGAAGCATTTTATCCTTGCATTTTTGATCTTAACAAAGCATATACTTAGGCTGTGGTATGAACTATACTATGGTATGAACAGGAGATAGTAAGAACAATGAGAATATGGTACCAGCCCAGGCTGTCTAATATAGGAAAAATTAGATGGTTATATTGGATAAATTGACCTCATCTGAAGAGGGCATGAGTAATTCTGTAGTCCGGAGGTCTAGGCTAGTCAACTAAATTTAGTTATGTAATAACAAAGGCTGAATTAACAAAATAACACAATTCAAGCCATAAGAACTAACAAAGACACCTAAGTGAATTTTAATACAAATTTTAAAATGTGACCTAAGTCTATGCTGCTTCAGTTTTCTCCTCGGCTTTCTCATGGT